TGTTTCTCCCCCCCCCTCCCCCGCCCTTCCCCTCAAATGGTCAATTTTCTGAATTTCCCCCAGGAGGAGGTCTCAGCGCTTCTCACCCAGTTTCTGTGGTCGGTAGGGGAACCAATGCCTGAAAACGGGCAGTAGCAGTAGTAACGATAATAATAATAATAATAATAATAATAATAATAATAGGGAAATGGGCAAAATAAAAGAGGAGAACTGGTTGGGAAAAATGAGATTTTCCGGGAGGGGAGCTAGAGGAATGTCTAGCCGGATGCGGGTGAGCAGGTCAGGTGAAAGGGGCGAGCGGGTAGAAGAGGGTCGGATGAAGAGGAAGCTGCCCCCAGACGGGATCAGCAGGAGAGGGAACCGGGTGAGCCAGCCCAGGGTTTGGGGGTTGCAATGTGGGGGAGAAATGGATCCTTGGCGTTGGTGGGGATTCGTCGGTGCCCAAAGCCGGCGGGGCGGCTCAGCACGGACGGACGGAGGCTTCAGAGCCTTTGTGCGCGTCCGGGGCTGGGCGCGCGCCGGGGGATCCAGGCGCGGGGCAGGGGCTCCCCAGAACGGCGAGGCGCGGGAGCTCTCGTATATTTTCTCGGCTGTTCTGCGCGCCCCAAGTTGGGCAGCCCAAAAAGTGTGCGTTTTCCGGCTGGATGTGGGGGCGGGCACGGCGGCGTGAAGCAGGAGCTCGGTTCTCCGCGGCCGGTCCGTGGCTTCCAGGTGAGAGCTCCGGATCCGTGCGGCCCTGCTCCTGGCAAACCTCGGGGACAAGGGTCCTTCCGAAATTTAGCAGCTGGAGGCTTGGACTGGGGGTAATTTTCCTTCTGAGACCCAAGAGCTGTCTGTCGATAACCCTTCTGATTCCAAATCTCCCATTTCCTCCTGGCCCGGCCTGATGCGTGTCCCCCAATCCGGACAAACCTGCCTGAGAAATAGACACACACACACACCCCCCCCCTCCTTAAAATTAGCCTCGCCGCGGTCTCTCTTCTCTTCCCCCAAGACCGGGTGCAGAGAGACCAGCGGAGTTACTCAACTTGAGTTTCTCTAATAAATCTGCGCTCCGTTGGGTGTTTATAAATGATCTCCTCGCTCTTTCTTGTTTTTTCTTATAATAGAAACATTTTCCTTCCATCAGGAATTTCTGGCACGGTGTAGGGATGATTTAGAACAAGTCATTGAATTTCTACCTCACCGGTGAGTCCTCAAATCATGACCATAAAATCCCCCGCACTTGATAAAAATGTTCTCTTCGGCAACAACTTAACTCTGCCTTCTGCTGCCTCACCGCCCCCTCAGCCTTGCACTGAAAACCCAAGACCCTGGTTCTCTCCCCTCCTTTTCTCCTTTCTCTCTCTCCCTTTCAGCCCCTCTCCCATTCTCCTGATTCACTTTTAAAGGACCAAGGGGCCCGACTGGTAGTTTCCCCTTGGCAAAAGCTGATGGTTTCATTTTTGCAAAGGTTAGGGTAAATGGGATCCCCCAAAAGCACCCTTCCCAAAGCAAAGCACTCTGGTGAATAAACAATGGCTCGACTGTGTTTGTAAAGCCTCTAACCTTTGTTGTTAGAATTTTTCTTTCTGTCTGTCTCTCCCTCCCTTCTTCCTTTCCTTTCCTTGGCCAGTGAGCTGATTCAGGAGGCCGTTGGTTGGGACCCTGGGACTGGGGCCTTCTAAAACCAGGCCACCATTCCCAGCAGGCCAGTGGGCTGGGAAAGGCTAAGGCAGGAGAGAGTGGCACCCACTCAGCTCGGCCCTGTATGCTGTGCCTCTGGAGCCCCAGGTCCTCAGGTCTGTGGAGAGAGTTGGGTTTAACTATACAGGCTCCCCAAGGGGAAAGGAGAGAAAATGGAGAGCTCTGTGGCCTTGCTGCATCCAAATCCCCTCTATCCCAAGGTCGGTTTAGGCAGTGACCGTGGCTCAAAGGATGCTGAAAGCCGCAAGGTGCCCCTGCCCCCCCACACACATTCTTGCAGCCCCTACCTAGAGCAGAGGAGAGGACAGCACAGGAACGGGACATCAAGACCAAGCACGTGGGCCTTGGTGGGCGCCCAGCAGCGGCCGCCACGGCCCTTCCCTCCCTTTGATGTGCTGATGGGCGTGGTGATGCCCGCTCACCCTAGGGTGCTGCAGAAGGTGCCTGGGAAGGCCAGGAGCCAACTGAGCTTGGTTAGTTAAGGTCCCAAGGCCTGGGTGCAGGAGTGGGACAGCCCAACCTGGTGTCATCCTGCTAGTAACACCAGGCCCCTCTCCCATCACACAAAGATGGTCCCCCAAGGCACTGACTAGAGTCAGTGCCCCCCTCCCCATCCCAGCACTGCTCTCCAGGTCAAGAGGGTTGTGCAGAACTGCAGAACTGGCCTTTGCAGGGCGAACTTTGCTTTCTGCTTCACCAGTGCCCATTAACCAGAAAGTTTCTTTCCCCCCTCCTGGTCCCTTCTCATGTCTTCCGGGACCCCTGCTCTAAAGAAAATCCTTGCTTGTTTGTTTAATGAGGGAAAGTTGGTGAGTGGCCTGGATGGGGCAGAGAGGAGGTGGTGTGGGGAGGCGGGGGGGGGCTCCAGAAAGGGGATGGGGGCAGGTGCTGGCCACAGCTGAAGGAGGCGAAAATCTCGGAAAAGTCACCGTTTGCGCCGAAAAAAAAACCCATAATCGTTCTCATTTCGGCTTCGTCACCCCCACCGCGCTGCAGTCGGGCGGTGGGGCGATCGAAGCTGCAGTTTTATAGCTGTAGAGGAAAGAACTCGTAAAATGCTAACAGCTTTTATGCGCTGCGGCATAAACAACAACAGACTCCGGCTTTATTGCGTTTTATAGTTTGTTAAAGAGTTTACAGCCGTTTTTTGGGGGCCGGTTACCCAGCCAATTCCCTCCACACGATAGTTAAACCTTTATCAATAATAAGGAAATTGATCATTAAAGCCTTAAATATGACTACCTCGTTTGTTTGAAAATATGTTTAGGAGAGGAAGCTGTATGATTTGATAACTTGTATTAAAATACCAATTACATTTATAGGACCTTTTAAAACTCGGCGCAATTAAACCGTGTTCTTTTACATTTTTCCGAAGCGACCCTGACATTTAAAAAGACTCCAACTGCCTCGTTAAAATCGCGAAATTAACAGCGTGCCTCCGCCTGGCGCGCTGTGTATGTGTGTGTGCGTGTTTTTTTCCGTGACTCCCCCACATCAGTCTTTGGGGGTGGTCTGCGAAGGTATTTGATTTGTTGTGAGGCGAGAGATATCTCATTAATGTAGGTAGTTAAACAGATTTAATCCGTATTCATTCTCTCTCTCACCCCCTCTCCCTCTCCCCCTCTCTCCCCCTCTCCCCCT